TATATGTATATGTATATGTATATGTATATGTATATGTATATGTATATATATATTAAGAAACAGCCTCTGTCTCCAAGATAGTTTTTGCCTTAAACCCCCAAGCAGAAAAATATCAGACCCTCCTGATTTTTTTTTTTTTAAAAATATTATTTTAGCGAAGGAAGAAAGCAGAATTTTTTTGGGGGGTGGGTGGAAATCATTATTCACCCCCCATACACACAAAGATTCTCCAGGTCTCTGTCCCTGTTGGTCAGGCGTTTCTGACTTCACTTCCACGCCCGACCACTCCAGCCTTCCTCCTTCTCTTCCACCCAAGAAGGATCGGCTTAAACTCAGCCACATTTTTCTTTTTTTTTTAAAAAAAAGCCCATTTCCGTCCCTTCGGTTAAGAAATGCGATTTTTTTTCTCTTTTTTTGGGCCGCTTCCATCCCACCGGGGCTCGTGTCCTTCGCGATTGCATCAGTGGAATAATAATAATAAATAATCATAATCATAACCTAGCATAGTTCTCTTATTTGCTGTGTACACTGTAGTTTTTTTTGGTGAATAAATAAATAATGAATTACAGCCGAGGTGACCAGGCACACGCTCCCCCCAAAAAGCTGCCTCGTCCCCCGCCCATCACAAATGCATTTTACTCCTCGGGAGGAAACGGATCGGCTGCAAAAGAGCACGAGGACTCCGCTTTTTTTGCAGACCGTTATTTCTCTCTCTTTTTTCCTCCTCTCCGGGAGGCGGAGGAGAAAAGAAAAAAACCCAAAACGCTGCGAAGGAAAGACGGAAAAAAATAATATAATATATATATATATATCATTTTTTCTCTCCGGTTTTCTTTGCCCGGGGAAGTTTGCGCATCGGCGGGAGGGGGCTGAGCGAGGGGAAGAAGGGGCGAGCTCCAGCTCTCCCCCTGCTGCCCAGAAAGACCCTCCCCTTCCCCCCGGACCCTGGCTACAGCCTTGGCACTGTCCTGCCCCCCCCCCGACTCCCCACTTCCCCCCAATTCCAAGGGGAGACTTACCCACAGCTCGGTGCCCCAATTCATGGTGCCAGCGGGCTGCGGGGCTGGCGAAGCGGCGGCGGGGTCCTCTGCAAAGCGGCTGGGCTGGAGGGGAAGGAAGGGTCTTTGGGGAGGGGGTGGCCTTCAGCCCCTGCTTCTTGCTGCCGCCTCCCGCCGTCGGAGGCGAGCCCCCTTCCGAGCCCTTTGCCCAACTGGCATAAAGCCGGCCAATTGCAAAGCCCCGAAGGCAAAAGGAGAGGAGAGAAGGCGGCGGGGGGGGGGGCGGCTTTTCGCCTGCTTTGTCTGTCTGTCTGTCTGTCTGTCGGGTCTCTTCGGGGACGTCTCCACTCCCCTTAAAAAAAAAACAACAAAGCAAGCGAAAATAAAATAGAATAAAATAAAAATCCGGACTTGCTATCTGCCCATCGCTTCCTCCGTCCGGAGCAAAAAAATATATGTATGGCTCAACTCCGAAAGCTTAGGGAAGGGAGAGGGGGGGGGGATTGGCAACCCGGGGGGGGGGGGGGGGGGGGGGGGGGGGGGGGGGGGGCGCTGCAGGGGGGGGGGGGGGAAGAAGAGAAGGAGCGAGTGTGCAAAAGAGGGGGAGGGGAAGAGAGGAGGAAGAGCAGGGGGCTCCCGGGATTGCGCAAGCGCGAGAAGGTGGGGGTCTTTGGCACACACACACACACGCACAAACACCCCAACCTTAAATGGGTTGAGCAAGACGCCGGCGCTTTTTGCAAAGCTTCCAGCGCAACCTGGCGGGCTCTTAGGACAGCCAGCAGCTGGGGTGGGGTGCGGTGTGTGGAAAGATATTTGGGGGGGGGATCGGGGGGTGATGGTCAGCTGCGCAAAGCCCCCCCCACCCCACCCTTAGCCTGGCTGTCGGGAGAGCGCAGCGGACTGGATCCGGATTTTGCGCCTTTGCAAAAGGAGAACCCGACGCGCCAAATGCCTGAAGGCGGATCCGCGGGGTGGAGAGGGCGCAACTCTGCTTAGCCAGAAGCAGACGTGCTGCAGCTACTGGGCTGGCCGTGTGGACGTAACGCCCCCGCTCCCCCCTTCTTCCTCAGGCCTGTGGTCAGCCACCTGTCCAAACCCTGCAACTACAATCAATCCATCGGGGATAGAGCTGGAAGAGACCTTGGAGGTCTTCTAGTCCAGCCCTCTGCTCAAATAGGATACCATTTCAGACAAGTGACTGTCCAGTCTCTTCTTAAAAAACCTCCAGTGATGGAGCACCCATAACTTCTGGTGGCAAGGAGTTCCACGGGTTAATTGTCTTCACTTTTAGGAAGTTCCTCCTTAGTTTTAGGTTGCTTCTCTCCTTGATTAGTTTTCTTCTTGTCCTGCCTTCTGAAGGTGCTTTGGAGTATAGCTTGACTCCCTCTTCTTTGGGGCAGCCCCTCAAATACTGGAATGCTGCTATCATGTCCCCCCTAGTCCTTATTTTTTCTCTAGATTCTTTTCTCTAAACTCTTCTGGTTGTAACCCAAGGACTCCCTGAACTTGGTAGGAAGGTAGTTGGGAACCTCGCGCTCGTGAAGGCTTTCCACCTCAACGGGTAGGCCGGTTTTGCACAACAGCCATCCCAATTGGCAGAACCGAAGGGCTCTGGGAGATCATCTAACCCAGCCCCTCTGCAGGTCCACACAGTAGTCTTGTGTGAGGGTACGGTCTGGCCAATCCCACCAGAACAGCAGCGAAGGAGAACAATGTGTGTGTGTGTGTATGCGTGTTGTGCATGAAAACAACCATTGTTCTTTGTCAGAGCCACTGCGAGACCTCCGGTCAACAAGAATGCAGTGAAAACGCCCAAATGTCTTGCGGATGATCGCAGTTGTGAAGGTGTCGTAGGGCAGGATCGGAATTAAAATCTCTAAAATACATCTTATTCGGTATGTGTGTGTGTGTGTGTGTGCGTGTGTGTGTTACATCTGCATTTTGGAGACCCAGTCAAAACACACCAGACTAGAAGGTAAGAAAAGTTCTAGTCCCGCCTTAGCCATGAAAGCTGGCCAATCATCAGGAGTCAGGAAATTCTAGTCTCACCATTAGCATGAAAGACAGCTGGGTGACTTTGGGTGACCAGGAGACTGGGAGTTCTAGTCCTGCCTTAAGCATGAAAGCTGGTTGGGTAACCTTGCACCAAGCACCAGGAGACTGGGAGTTCTAGACCCGCCTTAGACATGAAAAACAGCTGGGTGACTTTGGGCCAATCACCAGGAAACAGTGAGTTCTAGTCCCCTCTTAGCCATGAAAGCTGGTTGGCTAATCTTGGGCCAATCACCAGGAGACTGAGAGTTCTAGTCCAGCTTTAGGCATGAAAGCTGGTTGGGTAACCTCTGGCCAATGATCAGAAGATAATGAATTCAAGTCCCGCCTTTGATATGCAAATCAGCTGGGTGACTTTGGGCCACTCCCTCTCTCTCAGTCCAACCCACCTCACAGGGTTGTTGTGAGGAAAATAGGAGGAAGGAGGAGTATTGTGTGATTTTCATAAGAAGCCCTCAACTTACCAATGTAGTGGCCATTCAAAGTGAACAATGGCCCTGAAAAGAAGGGACCCGCCACCGGTTCTCGCACTTATAACGGTCACAGCTTCTCCCTGATCATGCGAGTCTCATTGCCCGTTTTTCTTTGGCCGAGAAATGGATAGTAAAAATAAAATGCAAGTGAAGTTTTTTTTTTTTTTAAATCAATGGATGTTAATTATGAGACAGCGGAAGGAATGAAAATTTTGCATATTTTGGCCTTGGTGGTCAAGGATCAGCCCGATTTTAGAAGACCTGAGTCATTTTTGCATAGAAACTATTTTAAATACACCAAGAAAAGCAGAATTTGCTTTTTAAAAGCACAAGAGAACAGTCCATAAGAAAACTGGCTGCTGCATTTGACATGAGCAAGGCGATCCAAGTTGAATTATGTTGAATTATGATGATCATCTCGGTGCATTATATTAATAAACTAAACCAAGGTTAAGCCAAGCATGATTTATCTTAACATTGAACAAGGTCAGTTTTTAGATTCCTACATTAAGACAATTCATTTTTCAATCGGTTTGTAGAATCGTTTGAATAATTAAGCAAGCAGCTTAATCATTACAACAGGAAGTCAAAGTAATGATTCTTAAATTAAATATGTACTGAAATCTGGCAAAGAAATGTACTCACGCAACATCTAGTGGCGAAAGGGAGAACACCAGTCAATTTCACCCTGTGACACACACACACACAGATATATATATATATATGCTACATTAATCTGTCTGTTTATATTTATGTCTGCAGTACTGTTAGGTTTCAACAGGATGTTCAAAGCAAAATATTTTCTGAATCTGGCCACGAGATTAGCAACAGCAGTTGGAAAAACAGATTTTAGCCATCAAATGGGCTGGTAAAAAAACAACCCCAAATTATAACATTGGCACCGCCGGAGGAATATATTACAAATATAGATTCTGCAAGGGTTGGGTAGACATGAAGGCAGGGGCAAGTGAGTCTATATCTCCTGCCTTTGCAGGTTGTCTTTGTGTGTATATATATATATTTATTATGTATGAAGGCTTTGAGCCTGTTTTGTAGTAGCAGAATTATTGTGAGGCTGGGTTTTGTATCTGGGATGAACACAGAGACTAAGCCATGGCTTTATCAACCGTATCTTTGGCGAGTGGGTTAACCCCTATCATGGTGGTTTATGTTATGCTTGTGGGGAAGATAAATAAGAATATCATGTACCATGCATACACACAAACATATACAAAAAAAACCAAACACAAATACAAGCTGGCTATATACATTTGACTGCTGATATATGTGTGTGTGTGAAGTTATATAAATGTTATGTATATGTATATGTATATGTATATATATATATATATATATATATATATATATATATATATATATATACATACATACATACATACATACATACATACATACATATACATACATATATATATATATGGCATTCTGCTTTGCTCGGGTATTATATATAAATATATATTATATATGAAGTTATATAAAATATATGAGTGTATGTTCACATATATACACATACTGTGTACTTGATATATATGAATAAAGTTGAATATATAAATGTAGTGCGCATGTATATACTTACAACAGTGTGTGTATGTGGATAGATGATAGATGAGATAGATAAATTAGACTGATTAGAGAGATACAGATGATAGATAAGAACACTCATAACCAATGAAATGTGGCTTCAGGATGAGGTGTGACAGGGTGCAGCACCCTTGAGAGTCAGCAGAGGGCGCCCTTTGAGACACCCGCCTCCCCTCCATGCGCGAAGAAAGCAGCGGCCGCTAGTCAGCCTTCTCTTTCCCGGCCTCTCTATGGTCCGCCCGCTTTCGCTTTCCCCTCACCGGAAGTCCCGCGACGCTCCTGCCGGCGCCGCCAGAGAGGCGGGGCGGCCGGTGACCTTTAACCCCGGAAGAGGGCGGGCGGGGCGATGTTGTTTCTGGAGTGAAGATGGCGGCGGGAGGGAGCGGCGGCGGCGGCGGTTCCGGTTTCCCCTGCCGGCTCCTCCTGGCCTTCCTGGCCGGGCTGCTCTCCGGGGGCCCCGCGGAGGCCCGGCTCCACCATCTCACCCTCAGGGTAGGCGGCCGAGGAGGCGGACGGGGCGGACGGGCAGGCGCCGAGACACGCGGAGGGCCTTTCCCCGCCCCACCCGGAGCCTCCAGCCCTCAGATATTCCCCGTTCCCGCAGCCCCATCATCCCCAGCCTGGAACCCCATTAGGCTGGTCCACCCCAGAACCATCATCCTTGGCTGGGTTGCCTTTGGAGTTTTCTACCCCAAACACCATCATCCCCAGCCCCTTCTTACACTCCGTCCCCATCATCCCCAGCTGAGTCCCATGAGGCTGGTACACCACAGCCCCATCATCCCCTGGCTGGGTTGCTTTAGCACTTTTCTCCCCTAAAAGCCATCATCCCCAGCCTGGAATCCATTCAGTCCCATCGTACTTCGCTAGGTTCCTTTTTAGGACACTCGTATCCCAACAACCATCCTCCCCAGCCGAGCTCCTTCAGGATGGTACGTTCCAATCCCA